GGCCGGCGGAAGAGGGGCTCGGATGCCGGGGTCTTGGGCTGCCGCGGCCTCCTGTGTGAGCTTAGCTTTTCCTGAAGGGGAGGAGATCCGGGGTGGCTCAGCGGGTCCAAGCCGGGCGCATGGTGTGATGGCAAGCTTGTCCTGCTCGTCCCTTTGGGCAAGAGATGTGGGTTCCTCGAGCAAGAGATTTAAAGACATTTGCCGTGTCTTCATCCTCCCTCTGTGGTATTTCCGTGTTATTATCCTTGTTAGAGTCACCTTTGGGTCGACTTACAGCGACGAAAAAGACCTTTGATGCAAAATCAAGGCGTAGGCCTCCACGTTATTTTTGGCGTAATTTTATTATCGTAAATCTTTATGGGTGTAGGGGAGGAGACTGGTTCCTAGAGATGAGAGGCAGTGTGAATATTATGAAAGGAAGAGGTATGGTCTCTTTCGCTGTTGTAAGTTCTTGGATTTTGTTGTTTTGCTAAGTGGTTTGGGAGTTGGAAAGTGTTATCAAGGAGCCTGGAAGGGAAGTTGAAAGGAAACTGTTCCTTTACAACCAGGAGATCGAAAGCTCCTTTACCTTCGGCGATTGCAAACAGCACAGAATTTACTTGAAAGGTAAAAGGGCCATGTGTCTTCTGATTACAACTGTAACATCACACAAGTTTAAACATTTAAAAAATAAAGTGGACATGGGTGACTATAAAATGATATACTCAGGGCTGTGGTTGGTGACTCATGCCTGTGATCCCAGGATTTAGGGAGGTCAAGGCAGGAGGATCACTTGAGGCCAGGAGTTCGAGATCTTTGTCTCTAAATGAATGAATGCATACTTTTTTAATTCAATTTTTTTCATTTTAAAGATGTGGGATACAATTCAGGATTAGGTATGCAAATGTTGATTATTCATGTACCCTTGTTAAGAAGGCGTTCCCCTCCTCCCCTCAGAGTCCCACTATTGCCGATCCCGCCTCCTCCCTCCCCTGGCAGTCTCCCACTACTGCCAATCCTTTTCTTACAGTATTGTGATCCTTGTTCAAGATCCGCTTAGAAGTGAGAACATGTGATGCTCAGTTCTTTGTTTTTGTGATAGGTCACTCAGTATTATATAGTCCATCAATACATACATTTTTAGAAAGCCACCAAACAAAAATATGATATTCAGTACTGTAAGAGTGTAACATTTTCAGCTACATTCTAGAGATTTTGGATAAAGGAATAAAAGTTCTTGTAGACGCTGCAACTTTCACGTTTGTCTCTTAATAACCTTGTTAGAGATCTTCTTAAAATTGAGACACTTAATTTTTTGCATTTATTTTCTTTTTGTTCCGATTAGTGATTCAGCTTGTTTTCTCTTTCAAAATCTCCTCAGTTTAACTATTCCCCCTGTGAGATCCTTTTCATTTTCCATTTTTTCTTTTCAGAGTCAACTTTAAAAAATAGTAAGGGTGAGTGCGGTGGTTCAAGCCTGTACTCCTAACACTTTGGGAGGCCGAGGAGAAAGGATTGCCTGAACCCAGGACTTCGAGACCTGCCTGGGCAACATGGCGACGTCTTGTCTCTACGTTAAAAAACAAAACAAAATACTGGCTGGGTGTGGTGGCATATGACTGTAATCTCTGCTACTGGGAAAGCTGAGGTGGAGAGATCGCCAGAGTCCAGCAGGTTTGGGCTGCAGTAGCTGTGAGCCTGTCCCTATACTCCAACCTGGGCGATGGAGTGAGGCTTCAGCTGAAAAAGAAAAAAACAATTTAGGGTTAGGTATGCAAATGTTAAAAATGTATGTATTGATGGACTGAGTATCTATAAAACTGAGTAAATTGAGGTTCGTGTAGTTAAAAACACTTTAAGAGAAATTTGAAATGGTCTTCTTAAACTAATTTCAGAGACCGTCAATTCCAATTCAGTAAATGGAACAACAGTGTACGTTATTTCTATTATGACCATTCATGAAAGGAGTGAGGGTGAGGGGAAAAAGGGGAAAAGAGAGAAGAATAAAGACCAGCATATAGGCAGGCATGTGCAAAAGAACAGAAAGGGAGAAAGAGAAAAGAAAAAAGGGGAAAGAAAAGATAAGAGAAGGTGAATGGTGCACATTTTTCATTCAACAAACAGTTATAACCACTGTGTACATTGACCTGAGGTTTGGGACACAGAGGTGACTGTGGCATGCTCCCTGCCCTGAATTGCTTACAGTTTAGAGATGAGCATTCACTGGGGATTAGTGGGAGGCACAGATCCTAAGCACTGACATAAACGGTTAGTAAATACGGTTAGTAAATATTGCTAGAAACAAAATTAAAAACTAAACTTTCACTTGATGTTTGGAAATACAAGTTGAAATCTTAGTTGGCTTTTTATTTGCCATATCCAGTGAGCTGCAAAGTCCTGTGGATTTCGTTTTATTAATGGTTTTCTCTTCCTTCCTGTTGCCTGTCCTCCTACTACTTCCGCCTTGGGTCACCACATCACCACCCTTCGTCGCACCGTTGCATGACGTCTGGCTTATAGTCAGGGTTCATTTCACAGGATGCCAGCTCTAATTCGAGCCAGAGCAGCCTGTACCGGGGATACCAAGAAAAACGTACAGACATTTTAAGAGATGTTATCTATGTATTATTGCTTTCAGTTCACCGTCATCAGAAGTGAGAACATGTGATACTCACTGGACGCTGATGGGAACCGCTTTGAGCACTCTTGTCATTGCAGAAGTCAAACGTGACTTGCATTCATCTTTTGTTATCAGTAAATATTGAGTATTACAATTTTAATACAGTTTTTTCTTTTCTTAAAATGTGTCTACATTTTTTTGCCACTCTGTAGTTATTCGACTTTAGAAAGTCATTGAAGTAAAATGTGTAGAGGTCTGTGAGTAATCAGATTAAATGCAGCAAATATCTGTTGAGGCCTACTGCAAGTAAGTTTTGAGAGATCTAAAAGTGAAAATGAATAAAAACATGGTGTGTCACTCCCGAGGACTGAGCCTGGTCCATAATTGGTGTTCCACAAATGTCAGGGAGAATATGGTACAAGATGTAAGCATTATGCCAGCAGGAGTTTATTTTTTAAATGATTCTGCTTAGCAAGTGATGTGAATGTTTTCTGGAATTGATCAGGTGAACTGACAACTCTGAACGAGTCTTTGAACGTGGTCTGGGCTGCTTATGCTTGTTAGCTGATGTCAAATCCCACTGAAACCACTTTCACTGTATACTGTGAGTTCCTGGATAATAGTGGTTTAGTGTTAGTTACGCCAAATAAATGAGGATCTGAGACTTGTACATCTTTACGTATAACCTCATGTGAGGGTATATACGGCCTCATAACATTAATATTCTCATGTAAGGGTATACACAGACATGTAAGATATTTAGCACCGAAAGATGTCCAGTATCCCGTTGTCAGCCATGTTCTAGAGGTTTTGGATGATTGGAATAGAAGTGCATGTTGGACTCTTCAGCTTTCACTTTCTAGGCGGGTCTGTATGATCCTTATGTGGGGTTATAGATCCAGTCCTTATATACTTTCTTAGATGCAGCCCCCTTTTATAATCATTCTTTTATTGATTGATTTATGTTTTCGAGTTGGGGTCTCACTTTGTCACCCAGGCTGGAGTGCAGTAGCACAATTGTGACTCTCTGCGGCCTCAAACTCCTGGGCCCAGGTGATCCTTCTGCCTCAGCTTCCCAAGTAGCTGGGACTTCAGGCACATGTTACCACACCTGGCTAATTTTTGTATTGTTTTGTATAGATAAGGTCTTACTATGTTGCCAAGGCTGGTCTTGAACTCCTAGGCTCAAGCAATCCTCCTGCCTAGACCTCCCGAAGTACTGGGATTACAGATGTGAGCCACCACGCCCAGCCTAATCATTCTATTTTTAAGAACTTTTATTTAGAATTTTCACAGAAAGTTGGCTTTTTCCCTTTTTTGGGTATATAAGTCTATGAAGTTTAGCACATGTATAGTTTGTGTCAACAACTTCATAGTCTGGGCCCATCCTTTCTTTAAACCCAAATTGTTTTTGTAATATTTGTTTGTAATAGTTACAGGATTCAAGCAAATGAAGACCTTTCACAGTTTCTTTGAAAATTACCACCCCATTATGTACCACTAAACAGAACTTTAGTCCCAACATGTGGAATCCCAGGATGTATTTTAAAGAAATAACCTCAAAAGAAATACGGAAGCCCAGATATGGAGGCAGTATGGACATCTTTTTCATTTAGAAACAAGTTTGTAAACTCCTATTATTTACAATGTTTTATCAGGGCCAGGTGAGGTGGCTTATGCCTGTAATCCCACCACTTTGGAAGGCCTAGACTGGAGGAGCACTTGAGGCCAGAAGTTCAAGACAGCTTAGACAACAGAGGGAAACCCTATTTCTATCAAAAAACAAAACAAGTGTTTTTTTGTTTTTTTTTTTCAGTCTTACTATAGCCAGTGGTAGATAATGCTCAGATCCATTTATTTGAGTGTGGTAGATCTCAGGCTAATGAAGGGGAGGGTGGCTCAGAGAATCCAAAATAGCTACTACGAAAAAGGATTATTTTTAGTTTGTAGTGCTTGGTAGATATTCTTGGCAAATGTGTATTTTAGCAGATTTAACCTGTCAAGTGTCTTGTTAGGTCGATTTAAAAAATGGTTTCAGTTGTTGGCTTGAGTGACTGGCAGTATGCTGGGTGGTGGGTGGAAATAAGCCTTGGATTAAGATTTAGTCAGAGGACCTGGGTGCAGTGGCTCCTCCCTGTAATCCCAGTACTTTGAGAAGTGGAGATGAGAGGATTGCCTGAGCCCACAAGTTCAATACCAGCCTGGGCAACTTGGCGAGACCTCGTCTCTACAATAAATCAAAAAATTAGCTGGGCGTGGTGGCATATGCCTGTGGTTCCAGCTATTTGGAAGGCTGAGGTGGAAGGATCCCCTGAGCCCAGCAGGTGGAGGCTGTGGTGGCTGTGAGCATGCCCCTGCACTCCAGCCTGGGTGACAGAGTGAGACTATGACTCAAAAAAAAAAAAAAAAAAATTTAGTTAGTGGGATCTTGGAAACAGGTTATACTGGCTGGAGAGGTGTCCAAGGACTGAGCACCTCCTGTGTTCCAGGCTTTTCTGAATGAGGAAGAAATACTTTCATGATGGCTACCATTCTTTCAGACATTTGATAACTCTTTGAAGTTTTAGCAAGACTAAGACTCTGAAGCAGTGCTTAGTATTCCACATCCTTAGAATGGTGCCTGCTACCTGGCATTTCCCTGCTTCCATTCACAGAGTTGTTCTGGTGTATTTTTGCCAACGGATCCATAATTTTCATGTTCCTTTTTATGGTCACAAAACACAATAAAATGAAATACACCCAAAGTTCTTCACTGCATCATTTTTGAGCATATTATTTCTTTATCTCCCCTCAGCATTAATGAAATATAATTGGCAACAATTGCATATATTTAAGGTATGCAATGTGATGTTTTGATATACATATGCCCTGGGAAATGAGTACCACAGTTAAGCTAATTAGCATAACCATCTCTTTACATAGCTACCTATTTTGTGTATGTGTGAGGTGAGAATGTTTAAGATCCACTCTCAGCAAATTTCAAGTATACAATACATTAAAATTTACTCTAGTCTCCATACAGTACATTATGTCCCCTAAACTTATTCATCGTAAACTGAAAGTTTGTATTCTTTGAACAACACTGCCTCCCATCTTGCAAATAAAGACAATTTTATTTCTTTATTTAGATTTGGATGCCTTTTATTTTTTCTTTTTCCTAGTTGACACTTTGAGGATTTTTAAAGTTAGTTAGTTCATATAAAATGTACATAAGGAATATAGCTGGGCGTGATAGTTCATGCCTATAATCCCAGCAGTTTGGGAGACAGAAGCGAGAGGATTGCCTGAGCCCAGGAATTCGAGACCAGCCTGACCAACTTGGCAAGACTTTGTCTCTACAGTAAATAAAAAAAATTAGCTGGGTGTGGTGGCGCATGCCTGTGTTTCCAGCTATTTGGAAGGCTGAGGCAGAAGGATCGCCTAAGCCCAGCAGGTGGAGGCTGTGGTGGCTGTGAGCATGCCCCTGCACTCCAGCCTGGGTGA